AACCTGTTGCCCTTTGGGCTTAGGGCAAGAGTAACTTCTGCTGGTTGTCTTGAAACACTTAAGTTCTCCATTGCTTCACACCATGGTAAATAGGGTTTTGGCTCTTTGGTGAGCCTCAAATCTTGCATATCTTCAGTGCATAGATTTGGGCCAAAGGAGCGTCCTCCAGGCAGTCGGTACATGGGCACTCTGGCTGAAGCTTCCAATTGTGTGGATTTCTGATTGTATCTAACCTCTATACATACCCCCAGTGCACCCAATCTGTACAGTTAAATTAAATCTTCCATGATTCCTACATTCTAATTTATTTACGTAAGGCCATTCTCTTCCCTGCTCATTGTAACCCCATCAGCTGGTGCTCCCCTCTCCCCTCCTTTTTCTCTGGTTGGGTTTGTTTTGTGTTTTCTTTGGGCCTTCACTGAAGTGGATGAAAGGCAAATTACAGCTGTGAGAGTCTCGGTGCTCTGCACAATTAAAGAGACAAAACAAGCTTGCACCTCCACTCTGCGCTTGGGCTCTGATGTGTGGCCCACAATGCAGCCAAACCAAAACTTAAAACTCAAGTTCTTTTTCATCACAGATTACAGAAAGGCCACACTGTTTTTGTGGAAAACTGCAAGATGAGTGAAGAGGGGCGAGGAAAACAAACACTTGCGGCCAAGTCAGGCTGACCGGCTTCTGTTTTCCCGGTAACAGGAGGGCAGTGGTTGAAGCAAGTAGGCAAATGCAAACCACTATAAACAGATCACACTGGGCCTTGCCACCTGGTGTTTATGATCCATGGAAATGCAATTTCTGTCATATTTATGTTTAGGCTACATTTGAAGTACTACCCTGAGGAAAGATTACCGGTCACAGTTCCAACTCTGACGGAGTCAGAGTACCCCTAAAATAAGCCAGGGGACTAAAGTCAAGGTGGGTAGAGCAATGATGAAATCCCAAAATGGTGCCAATAAAAAATCTTGCTGACCAAGTAGTTGAGTGGATTCCAACTCATAGAGGCCTCATGTGTGTCCGAGTAGAACTGTGTTCTGTAGACTTTTCAATGGCTGATTTTACAGTACTAGATCACCAGGCCTTTTTCCCAGAGGTGCTTCCAAGTAGATTCTAACCTTTAACCTTTTGGTTAGCAGCCAACCGTGTTAACTACTTGCGTCACCCAGGGACTACCAGTGGTCTGGCATATTTGGTCCCAGGTCGGTTCAAGAAAATGTTGACTGAGCCTGGGTCTTTGCTTGAAATAATTACTTTTGAAATACTTTCAATTCATCCTTTATTAATGGTTACAAATGGCATTAAGGAAAGCCCAATGTTACTTAGATAAAATGGGTAATTAAAGTTACCATTAAGTGAACCAACAGTGCTCTAGCTGTGGACATTTGACTCAGTTCTGCAAGGACAGGGACATCTACACAGAACCAGCCATACTGATAGGCTTCCTGTAAGATCTGAAACCAAAAGAAGCATGCCTCCATTCTAGGATTGAGTTGGGTATAAATAGGGTCTTCTGGATATGTCCTTTTCCTCAGGACCTTCAGGGATAGTTCCTGGAGCTGTGAGGAAGGTTTCTAATACACCCTTATGGGTGGCAGTATTTGGAAAATCTTCTGTGGCCTCTTGATGACCACCCCCTTGAGCAACTGAGTCATTGTCTTAAAAAAATATAGATATATGTTTTTCTATAACTAGCCCATGAAAAAGGAGAACAAAATACTTGTCAAACTGACTTTTTGAGTAAGGTCCCCCAACCCCTCTCCTCAGAGTTTTTATGTAAAGTTCCTTTTATAAAACGTTCTACCCTGATTGTTCCTAGTTCATTACTTGTTAAGAAACTAAAGTCTAGAATATATGAGTCCCGAACATGTCACAGGTACCATAAATTGGAGACCAATGTCTCCAGGAAGTAATAATTTGGTAAGCGAGGCAGATACGGTGTCGCCATTTCTTCTCCAGAGGAAGCGATCTCTCTTGGTAGAATTGAGTACATGATTCAGCTTAGCTGGTCCCACTCCCACTGGGGCCTTTGAAAGTAGAGTCCCATCTCCAGAGATTTGTCATCAAGAGAAATTTTGTGGAATCACATTTAGCAATTTAGCACTTAGCAACTTTTGCAAAATCCCACACCAATCATAAAAGTTGGCTCAGCTGTACAAATTAGATTAAACTCCTAACAAGTAGTAATAAAAATAAAAGAAGGAAAACTAGCATTCAGCCTCAAGGAGGAAACCCACCTACCTCCCCAGAAATGCCCTGTAGCTCAGAAAGCGATGTGTAAACTTTGGAAACATCAATTTGTTCAAAGCCTACATTTCAACTTTGTTCTCACAGGCAAAGGGGGGGAAAAAAAAAAAAACCCCAGATGTTTGTATAAAAATATCATCATTTTATTACATTCCACACAATACATTTTCAAATAGTTTCCAACGTCCACAAGTTATTTTGACACACAGGCAACTGAGAAATGCAAGGGATGTCACAGTAACGGGGGGGTGGGGGGTGGGGGGAGAATAGGAATTGAAAATCTTGATGTTTTCTTGTTGTTCTTTGGTAATTATTTTATTATTTAGGTGTTTGCTTGCCTGTTAGTTTCATTTTAAAGAGAGTGTTTCTAAAGGTGGGGTATTATTTATTTTAAAGCCTCAGATATCTTACTGGATTTCCTATTCAATTCTGGCTTTAATCCCTGAAATGTGGGACAAGGGAAAGGACAATTTTATTATATTTTTAGTATCATGGTTTGTAAATGACAATGTGATGGTGCCCCCCACCCCCTTTTGCTGCCTTAGCCACTAAGGAGGCGACAACAATGGTTAGTATACTCTCAAGGAAGGGAATGTTACCTCAGAGTTAAGAGTCCCTCCTGAAGGTGCTGATGTGGAACCTCTACTAAGGCAAGAAGCTTTACCAGCCTGAGTGAGGCCTTGGAGTCATTCACTCATTCATTTGAATTTTAATGTTGCTATCACATCTTTGTCTTCTGAGAAGCAACTCTTAACACATGCATGCATGCATTCAGCAGTCCAGGCTATTTTTCTTAAAAGAGAGCAACCCTTCCCTCTCTCCATGATATTTGGGGACTTTCGCTTTTCCATTCTAAAGAACTGACCAGGCTAATACTCAGAAACTTTCTGGGGTACAGAAGGCAGAAGGAGAGTGGGAGATAGACAACTGAGAGGAAGAAGAAGAGAAGAGGAAAGGAGAAAGGAGAGGGAAGAGGAGGAAGGGAGAAGAGGGAGGAAACATCTAGAGAACAAGAGAGCAAGAGAGGAGAGAGAGAGAAAGCGACGTTCCCCGTTGAAGTGGAGCAATGGGAGTCCCAAAGATTTGAGTAGTCCCATACCTTCAACTATGGCATGTATGGTGTTTTCCCACACGGGGCATCAGCTAAAGATGCAGCAAGTTCACAGAAGCTGTTGTCATCTTCTTTAAAGAGGGGAAATACTCAAGGGTGTGCGGTAACACTGCCAGTTACTACACTGGCTGGATTCTCCAGGGGTTATTTCTGGCCTCCAGGGGCGTCTACAGAGATGCCAATCATTTCAAGGGGATGCCTGGCCCCAAACACACAACTGGCTGTGGCCGTGTGCACATCTGAGATAAAAAGCCCTTGGTGACCTTGTGGGAAGTCACCATGGGGCATTCTAAGCTGCTGCCAACCTTCTCCCTCCCTCCATGTTCTGCTGGGGTTGGCCACTTCTTGAAATCCCAGGTAGCTCCTGCATTCTAGCCTTTCATCTTTTCTTTTCTTGGCAGGCTGCTGTGGTGGGGCCAGAGTAGCTCTTTGAAATGGAATAAGAGTGGGAGAGCACTGTTCTTTCAGGAGGATGAAACAAACCAGATGTGAAAGTGAGTGTGTGTGCTGGACATATCTGGGTATGCTGAAAGAATGCTAAAAGCCTTTCTCTCCCAAGAAGCAAAAAAAAAAAATCATTAGTATTTTGTTCTCAGAGGATACCTGGAGGCTTCCAGCCCAAGTAACCATCTTTGGAGAGAATCTTATACTTCCCCAGTGGGTTCCTGGTGGGAAGGTGAGAAATAAGAGCCTCCAAGGCTGAGCCTCAGTACACTGAGAATCTTGTTAAAATACTCATTTTCTACCAATGAAATTGACTTCATTATTTAACTCATCCTTTGCGTAGTATCATTAGGCAATTTCTCTCTAACATCCCTCTGTCTGTGTTGTTTAGAGAGGACAAATGGACAGCCATGGATTTATCTTCATTATCCCTTCTCTCTTCAGATGCAGCAACATCTGGCTATGGCAGGCCAGCCTGCGAGGGTATATTTGCCAGCTACCATGAATGCTTTAAGGGGTAGCACACTGGTACATTTTAAAACATGATTACTTTCGCTTTCTCCTAATATTTAAGTAAGTCAGGTGGACAACTTTATGGATTGAGTGGCTATAGATTCAGGCACACATTAACACCATGAAAGAAAAGGAAATGATTCTTTGTTCCCCCGTATTGTACAAATGCTATTGTAGTGATCAATATCATACCAAAGAATAGAGTATTTAATCTTCTTATTCAACCCCATCCCAGTTAACCCCCAGGGTGAGGAGACTTTAAAAAGACATCCCATACCTTCCTTTTCCTCCCTCCTCTCCTCCTGCTCTCAACTTAAATAGACAACTGCTCTCTGTACATCATTCTCAGATTTGTTATTCTCTATGACTTATTCCAAGATTGGATTTATCCGATGAAAGCTAAACATTCATTATGAGATTCTCTTTTATAAGGCAACATGGGACAGATTTGCTTCAGGGCTGGAAGGAGAGATGGTTCCGTCTGTACCCAATGGCTGTTGTCTTGTTACTTCAAAGACATCAGGCGACTTGACAAGGGGTCACGTCTGAGGCCATTGGGGGAACCTTCCTCTTGGGTCACGTGGGTTAGGTAGGGATGGGGACAGGAAGGGTCACATTTCATTCCATATGACCTCTATTTTTTTAGGAACCTGGAGATGATAATGAGAGCCAACAGAAACCCAGCCAGAGCTAGGTAAGGCAACAAAAAAGCTTCAATCTCTTCTCCAAGTAAACACAACTAGTACAGTAGACTATTGTCTTGTAAAATGTACCCCAGGAAAAGCAACACAAGAGTTAAAGGGGGCGCTCACTAAAAACATTCACACCACCCCTCACACACACAATGAACCACACATTCTCTCACACACCCACCCACACACATAGAGAGCTACTCACACATGTGAACAAACACTAGGTACAGACATCCAGGGCCAGGTTTCCTATCAAGGCCCCTGGCAGACTGCCCACCGAGAGGAGGTCTGGGTAAGGCAAGGGCAAAAACAAGGGACCAGTCTCTGGAACAAAACCAGCTGAGCCTTGAGTTGTGAAGTGCTTAGGGTGGTGTCTCTTCTCATAATAATCCAAGATGCAGCATTAGAGTTGGGTGTTGTTGGTTTGAAATCAACAAAAGAAGAAGAAAAATAAAGATGCAAGGAAAATGGTCAGGATGGATAAGGGCGCTCAGGGGTTGGGGACATGGGAGAGAGATGTCTGAGAGTTCACACAGAGACTAGGTGAGGAGAAAAAAGTGCAAAATCGAGGCAACGTGTTTGCAGTCATTCTTGTTTGTTTTGGGTGCTGTCCTTGCTTCGGCCCTCAGCAGTGGGAGCCCCGGTCTTGCTCTAGCTTAATGGTTAGGGTGGGCTCCACCGCCAGAGGGGCCCCGTTGGTGTAGTGGGAGGTTTTGTAGGTGATGGAGTGATCAGTCTTCTTGGCCGCATAGCGGAACCGGTGGTAGTGAAGTACCAGGGCCAGAGCGACGGAGACCAGCACCAGCACAGCGCCCCCGGCGGCTATTACGTAATACCAGTAGGCTGGGATGGGCTGCACGGGCACCGTGTCCACTGTGGGCTCGGTCCCTGGTAGGAGGGTGCCCCCTGGTGGAGAGACACAGAAGAGTGTTGCTAGGCTGAGAGCATGCAGACTAATCAAAAAATTAATTAAAAAAGAAAAAGAAGAAACACACACATGCTTTGGAGCACACTGGGGAGGGGACAAAGGACTCAGGTGGAGCTCACTATCTAGAATGTGCCAAGGACGTTTAACCGATTTTATATCCTATCCAAAACCTCATGAGGTAGGTACTGTCAGATCCATTTTATAGAAGTGGACACAGAGGCCCAGATAGGTAAAATTAACAATGGTCATACAGCTAGTAAGTTCCAGAGTAGGGCATTCAACTGCATGACTACACAGCCCTTTCTGTTAAACCGTAATGACTGAAATATGGCAGGATAATAATACGCACATACGCATACACACACAAGTACATGATGCTGAAATGACTATTGGGAGACAGTAAAGGAGATCCTCCAAATGGGTGGAAATGCTGTGTTTGGTCTGGCTGGCCAGCATTCTCAAACAGTGTATTAATTAGGCTGGCTAGACTTGAAGGTAAATTCCACTTTGGTTTGCCAAGCCTTTTGTGCCCACTGAAATCAGCCTGGTCTTGTCTAAACAGGTCAATTACCACTGTCAAGCAATGACTAACACATCTTCATTTTTTAATTGGATGGAGGATTTAAAAAGCAGATTGGAAGGGAAGTTGCAACAAAAAATGTGGGCACAAAATGATAGTGGGTTATGTGAGTGAAGAGCGAGAGCAAAGAGAGAGATCACTCTTAATCACGGAAAAGACGGAGACTGGAGGAGAAGCGAGGAGAGGATTTTGAAGACAACCACGCTCACTGGCTGGCCTCTGGTTGCTATGGAGATGATGTAGTAGATTTAAGCCCAGGCTAGCTCTGGGGAAAGACTGGCTCGAGTCCCACTTGATGCAAAACAGTGCTACAACTTGATTCTCCTAAAGATTTACATCAGATGAGAATCTGGCTCAGAATAGGGTGAGGAGCTTTTGAGCTTGCCAAAACCAGACATGATCTTTACTTCTGAAAAATGATGTATGCTTAACCTATGAAAAATGCCTCTCTCGCTACTTGCAGCAAGTGGTGGAGGCTAGAAAGATGTGTCTTCTCCAGTCAGGCATGCTCCTGGAGGGAGCATCATGTACTGTTGGTCCTGCCCTGTGGGTGTGTCTCTGGTCAAGAGGCAGGGCTCCCTTCTGTTTTCATGTCTTCCCCAAGAGACCTGGAGCTCCTTAATCAGAGGAACTCGCTTGCCTCTGGGTTTCCACCTGAGTCTATACAATGGAGGCACTCAGAAACGCTTGGTGAAGAAAAGACTGAGTTGAAGCTAAACTACTTCTGAGCTAGTGTTCTCCAACTCCTATTGTTCCCCAAACACTAGAAGTCCTGTCTCTGATTTGGGAAATAGTTGATATGTCTTCTCAGAGATGGCACACCAAGAAGATTTTCTTTGGAACATCTTTCAGAGGATGCCCACCTTCCCGACTCCATGTTCAGGGGAGACCCTCTGCTAAGGTACAGGGTTCATCAATGTCTCAGAGACTATGAGAGATTCCACAATACTGGAAGGGCTTCAAGGAGGGTGTGTTTCTCCATACCCCCTATCCTAGCCATATCCATAGCCTCTGGGTGGAAAGGATCCCAGAACCCCAGGACCCTCAAATGTCCCTTTCTTCATCTCTGTATTCTCCCATGAGAATATAGAGTATCTTTTTTTCTTTTCCCCAAATCATCTGAGGACTTTCTATCATCTTTTAATGGTTTCATTACTGTGCTGAGAAAGGACTCTCTCTCTCTCTCTCTCTCTTTTGTTTTTTGCCATATTGAAAATTATGCATAGAAACAGAGATAAAGAGAAAGCAAGGTGCTGGAAATGGCCAGCTTGCGAGTCACAGGGAACTGGTGTCAACTCATTATTCAGGTCACCAAGAGTATCTGCTGCCTGGCAACCATCCTGCTTTTCACGCAGGCTCCAAAGAATGCATAGGAAACAACAAAGTGTGCCGATGGGCACAAAGTTCCTCAGAACCATCCCTTCTCACCCCAAAGACATCCCCGGGTTTGCCTCTGAGTTTGCTTTGGCGCCACAGTGAGGGCCATCTTTCAATGAGGCTTGGGTTCACCCATGAGAGGAAAGGAGGGTGATAAATCCAGTCCCCATGGGAAATACGTGAGCAGACCAGAAACGTAGAAGCACGAGTTTTTGTCAGAACATTTACAACAGCTCATATTCCTTCTGTCACAACAAATTCTCCCTTCAGAGGTTTGGTTTCCTTCAGTCAGAATGCTGGTTTTCAACATTAAGCACAGCACCCAGGACTCAAACTGCTGGGGTTGCGGAAGGTTCAAGCTTTGGTGCTACTGTAAAGTGTTTCTTATGAGAGAGGAAAAGTTGAAGCCCAGTTGAAAGAATCGAAGGAACCCACTGGAGGATTGCTAAACCAAAATTTGTGGATGATGTATCCAGAATCAGAGATACTGACCCCTCACATCACAGTGCTACTCCATCTGAGGTAGGAATCCCTTCCCACCAATCCCAACCCCCTTGAAATGATCACTATGTAGAAAAAGTTTGTGACAGAAGCCATTTGAAGGACACTATATTTGTCTCCTTAAACATCTTCTCTGGACACTTGATTGGGGAAATGGAAAAAAAATACTCTGTAAGTTTTTGTGTTTTTAATATTGCTGTTGTAAAATGCAGTCAAATCAGTTCTGACTCATAGCAATCCTGTATAATGTTTCTGAGGAGCAGCTGGTGAGTTTGAACTGCAGACCTTGTGGTTAGTAGTAGTACAGTGCTTATCCTACAGTGACCCACCATGAGTCATTTTAATGTTAATGTTAAGGGGATTAGAAAAGAAAGAATATATCTAGTTACCCTTCTGATTCTCCACAAACATGTTTTGATGTACTAAAATGGAGGCTAGATGTTTTGCTGAACATTTTCTGGCAAAAGAGAGTCAGTTCCTAAGAGCAGGTGGATTGTGCCAATTTGGAATATGGCATTTGGGCAATCTTCAAGGGTTCTATACTAATGAGACTATGCCAGTCAAAGAAGTTGTTGTTATTAAGTGCTGTTGAGTCAGTGCGGACTCATAGCAACTCTGTATAGGGTTTCTGAGGAGCAGCTGGTGGGGTTGAACTAACGACCTTGTGATCCACAGTTCCATGCTGATCCTACAGCACCACACCAGGAATCCAGTCAGAGAAGAGGAGGGGATAAATTAGTAGGAGCCAAATCCCAACTGAAACAAAATACATTTCCAGATAGCAGCAGCAATTCAGCAGATTGCTGGACAGATGGATGATCGGACAAATGGATAGATAGAGGAATGTATTTTGGACCAACTTTTAGACTCCCTGGAAAATGTTGATAGTGCACTGGCTCTTCACAGAACAATTATACTTGGAAGATGACTGCTAGACTCTACTGTGTTAGCTCACATCAAATGAAACTGGAAAAAGGCACTTCCTGTAGGCAGATGCCACCTGTACCAGGTGTCCTGGTTGGCGAGTGGTTAGATTTTAGCTCCACTTGCCTCCTCAGCCATATGGGGTGACTTTTCCATGACTTTATAATTAGGGAGCCTAGCCATAGTTATTTAATCTGTATGCTGAGAAAATAATCCGAGAGTTGGATTCTATGAAGAAGAATAAGGCATCAGGATTGGATGAAGACCAATGAACAACGTGCAATATGCAAATGATGCAACCTTGCTTGCTGAAAGTGAAGAGGACTCAAAATACTTACTGATGAAGATCAAAGACCACAGCCCTCAGTGTGGGTTGTACTTCAATGTAAAGAAAACAAAAATTCTCACCACTGGACCAATAAATAACATCAAGATAAATGGAGAAAAGATTGAAGCTGTCAAAGACTTCATTTTATTTGGATCAACCATCATCAACACTTATGGAAGCAGAAGTCAAGAAATCAAATGACATATTGCATTAGGCAAATCTACTTCAAAAGACCTCTTTTAAATGTTCAAGAGCAAAGATGTCAGTTTGAGGACTAAAGTGAACATGATCCAAACCATGGTGTTTTCAATAGTCTCATACACATATGAAAGTTGGACAATGAAAAAGGAAGGTTGAGGAAGAATCGATGCATTTGAGTTTTGGTGTTGGAGGAGAATATTAATGGTACCATGGACTTCCAGAAGAACCAACAAACCTATGTTGGAAGAAGTGGTCAGGATGTTCCTTAATAGTTACAATGGCTAGACTTTGTCTCTCACACTTTGGACATTATCATCAGGAGGGACCAGTCCCTGGAGAAGGACATCATGCTTGGTAAAATGGAGGGTCAGCTAAAAAGAGGAAGACGCCTAACGAGGTGGATTGGCACAGTGGTAGCAGCCATGGGCTCAAGTGTAGCAATGACTGTGAGGATGGCACAGGACTCGACAGTGTTTTGTTCTGTTGTGTGTAAGGTGCTGACTAGACGACACCTAATAACAACAGCCTAGGTCCCTCCAAAAGGGAGAAAGAGCACAGATGAGACTTGAGCCTTGCCCTAGAGGTTTTGAATGTTTGACCTGAACTTCTTGTTGGGTAATTCTAGCTTTTACCACTTACTCATATACCTTTTTAATTGGAAAATGCTTTCAACTTACGTACTATTTTTCATTAATTTCTACCCCCTACCTAATTCTCCAAGGAGCTCTGGTAGCGTAGGGGTTACCAATTGGGCTGTGAACCCCAAGGTCAACAGTTAGAAACTACCAGTGGTTCCGCGGGAGAAAGATGAGGCGTTCTGCTCTCGTAAAAATTTACAGCCTTGGAAACCCTGTACAGGGTCGCTATGAGTCAGAACTGACTCCACGGTACTTAACAACAACAGCAACCTAATTCTCCAAAGAAGAATTGATACCTTTCAATTATAGTGTTAAAAAAGAATATTTAATATACCATAGACTAACAGAAGAACAAACAAATCTGTCTTGGAAGAAGTACAGACAGAATGTTCCTTAGAAGTGAGCATGGTTAAAGATTTTGGTCTCAGA